TTTTTTAGCAAACAAAATATTTCACTGTACAGGTGGTGCGGCAAAACTTACTTCTTATCAATAGAAATAACTACACGAACGTTGCACTTCTCCAGCAGAACAAGACCAACTGTGAAAATCGCCGACGTCGCAAGCAAATCTGTTTCGAACTTCGAATTTCGATGTCGCACTGATCGCCGAAGTTGAGCCAGCGAAAAGCTCGCGCTCAGCGTTGACTCTCTCGCTCTTTCGAAATTGTATAAAGCTTCGATGTTGCCAGAAGTTGTGTGCTGCTTATTTTTTAATCAGGGCTGCTTTAAATTTTTATGTACCAGTTACCGAAGATAGAATTTAATCAAGTATTTACAGTGAAAGAATGGTGAATTCATTAAAAATAAAGCAGGTCGTAAAATCCGAATATATTATATGCTTTTGTAAAGAATTTTAAATTCATACTAGTATAAATTATTTTATTTAAGATGCAAAATATTTGACTATTTGATCTCAGAGCAAATTATTGCATTAAAATTGTATTTAGTCCCCAAAGGCGACACTAATTAAACGCTAATGCGGAATGACGTTTTTTTAATCGACTTCCAAAAAAGGAGGAGGTTATTAGTACGTCGAAATATTTTTTTTTATATTTATTTTATTTTATCTTATTTTTTTTAATGTATGTTACCGCATAACTTTGGACCACGTCAACCGATTTCGATAATTCTTTTTGCATCGGAAAAGTAGGGTCTCAGAGGTGGCCCCATATATATATATTTTTACATGAGAGTTGAAGTCGGTTTTTTTTGCTAAAAATTACTTGTTTAGTTAATTACATACAGTTATTCATTCATCGTTTATCGTTTTAACTAAAATTCTACTTAATAATTTTTCAATTGTGTTCTAAGATTAAGTTTATTTATAGTTCTTGACTACTTAGAGAGTTAAAAACTAAATTATAATGCGGTGATAAGTTCCGTTTATCAAATTTTCTTATTAAATAAGACTAGGTGACAAAAGAAAAAAATTTATGTACGTGTATGTGCATTTTTTTCGAGGATGGGAAATAGATTAGCTCAAATTAAAAAAAAAATGCATTAGAGTTTTCAAATGGGTATCAAAATCTGTATTTTTAACTAAAAAACTGGATTGTCTTAGGTTGAAGCGAATACCCGTTTACACTCAACTTTCTTTCTACTTATCCGTCTATATAGTTTTGAAAGTAATTTGTTCATATGCATAAATTTAACAGTGGCCGAGTAATACGACAAAATATCATAAAATATTGCAATCTTTATAAATCTGTATTTTATAATCACGCCGTTACATTTATGTTATTTTGTTTAAAAATGCATAAAAAGCAGAATTTAAATTTAACGAACAATCAGTTTGATTTCAATGTATTCATTGTATTTCAGTTTTATCCGCAGTGCAAAAGGGTAATGTTTGGGAATGCAAAAGGTAATGGATAGCCCCTATAACCTACGCATGAAAATATGCAAGAATTTCTCTACAGCGTTATCATACGAAAGTAATTTGTCGCATGTCGTTTTACGAAACTATAAAAATTAAAAAAAAAAAAATTAAAATTAAAAATAAAGTCCGTGCTACAGATTTTGAACCCGTGACGAACAAGACGGAAGTCGAACACGCATCCATTTGGCTACACCAGCTGTTGAGATAACGTAATAAAAACATACTTGAATTAGTTTTCAAACTTTTTGTTTTGTTTGTGGCTTCAAAAATTACACGTCATACGCGCGTCCACGTTGCGACGCCTCTTTTGGTTAAACCGTAAGGCCAGTATGCAGCTCTCAAGAAAACGGTCAAGAAAAAAAAAATTCCATTATTTCGCGTGTGTGACCAAGGAATTTTGACATCTTATACTTCACCAGCCTGTTGTCTCACTCTTTCGTCAAGAAATAATGGATCAGGCATATATTACTGTTGCAAGCATGGGTTGCCTTGTGCTATTTTTTCACAAAAAACTTTAGAAACCCGTAGTTGAAAGTGTAGCAAATTTCTTAAGAACTGCGTACTGTTTGAAGAAAATTTTACACAAGAAAATTCCTTAGCCATTTTTTGTACGCTATTTTATATAGAGTTTTTGCTTTACTTGAGAGCTGCATACTGGCCTGTAGATCTTAATCTTTTTTTGGTACCACTAGGTATGTATGCACATACAAATATGGGTATATGGATATCAATCTCAAATTTGTAATTATTCTGTAGGGATTTTAGGTCTATGTTATAAGTTTGACTATTGAATGACAGACATATTGTCAATTAAATGTAATGGAAGTTATCAAAACAAATTCTATGGGACTGCGGAATACTATTTTCTCCTTTTTAGTCCATTTATAGAAACGCGATAAATTAAATAGTTTTATTTATTTTTATTTATTTGTTTCTTTAAACTGTTTATACCGTTATCTTAATTCACAAAGGCCCTAACCCATAAATTTTTTACTTTACAGGAGAAGCAAAAAATATTTTACAAAGAGTATTAAAAACAGGTAGGACTAAAAAGTGGCATGTAACTCCGTTGTTTTTGGAACTATCACTTTGAAATTTTGATTGAAGGTGCACTTTAATAACTCCTACCAAAATCTGCAAAAAATTCAGTTTCAAAAAAATGTTGGTTAGGGCTTTTGTGAATTAAGATAATGATACCGTTTCTTAATTTTTGTAAATTCTTAAATTCAAAAGTTGACAAAATTTATTCACACGCTAAATTAGTAACTTGCCAATGAAAACTGCCCATCATCATTAAATAAACTCTTCTACATAGATTACAAAGTTTGGCCGTAATGATCGTGATTTTTTAAATATTTTCTTTTTTTGAAATTAGCAAAAAGTGCTTTGCCGGCTTTTACATGTAACAACTCCTCCAAAGCAATTTTTTGTCTTTTCATTTTGTGTTTTCTAAACGGTTCTACACGCGTAAATTTTTATTGAATTCACGATTTGGATTCTGTACTTTATCGAAACTGGTAAAATAATCAGGCATTTTGGTGGAATTTTTGCTAAATGAAAATATTTCATCTTTATTCCTACGATTAGAAACAGTTTTTATGAATATGTAGTTGAGAATTCTTGTTTATTCCACTTCGCCATTATAGTGGAACTTATCCAAATGCGTCCTTCATCTGGCAGCACTGAATAGATTTTAATCTTCGAAGTTTATGTGTAGTGAAGAGCGAATGTTCGAATTTCGTAGTTGCTGCCAGTGATCACAACCCCAAGAGAATTCCCCGATTTCGATGGAATTTGAATTTCTCGGCGGAATCGTGGAATGGCTTTAGATTTGGGGTAATTCAATATACAAACCATTTTGATTAGAACATTCCTATTGAGAATAAAATTGTATTTATGAATTACAACTGGTAATTCCGATCTCTCATTTTGTTATTTCGGGTTTGAAACATTACGCTACGTAATTACGTAATTGCCTTATGCAACTGTGTGAATATTGAAGAAATTGCAACCGTGCATAGCGACCAGAGTTGCCAGATATTTTCTTGTATATGTATTAGATTTAGCTATTATTTTTGACGCTTACCTAAGAAATTTGCGTTTGGTTTGACTATTAGCTACTTTTTAAGCTTTTTTTTTTAAATCGAGTTAGCCATTTTAGCTAATTTTTTTTTATAATTCCCCCATTTTTACTCAGAGTTTTATAATTTCGGTGAATATCAAAAAATACAAAACTTGATATTCTGGTTTTAACCGACTTCCAAAAAAGGAGGACGTTATCAGTTCGTCGGAATATGTTTTTTTTGTTATGTATTGAACCGCATAACTTTGGACCCCGTTAACCGATTTCAATAATTGCCTTTTTTTTAAGGAAAGGTGTTACCTCACAAGTGGTCCCATACTAATTTAGTTTAAATCCGATCATTGAAATTAACGAAAATCTTAAATGACAAAAAACCTCTTCATCTTCCCATTCTCATTAGAAATGACCCACTGGTTGCTTATAGTCCTATCTGCTCCTCGAAGACCGATATCTATTTTTGCCTACCTGCAAACTCTAAATGCTATCTAGTCCTGAACTGCAGCGCACCTAGGCAATTGGTTATATGTATGTCTGATTAAATTTTACATTTTAAAATTTCCAGAAATTGTTCACTTATCCTGCATATTTTGGTACAGCAAATTAAAATCTGTCAACCGTTTCTTCTTATAAGCTTTTATTTTTCCACCAAGAGCTTCATACTATGGACGAAAGCTCGCCTCGTAGGATGTTCTGAGGAAGAGTTTCCAGTTTGTTTTCCCTATAAATATGGTTAGTTTTACGCTTGCTAATTTAATTCACGCCCTACCGGGAAAGGTGCGTCAAATAGACCACCGTTAAATTGAAAAACGAAAGCCGAACATAAAACACAGTACGTCCCGGAAATTCATGTCAAAATTAGTACATTTTCTTGCAATAAATTTGATTCGTTGCGTAGTTTTTAATCAACCAAACTGATGAAAATATAACAAGAATGTGTACCACAAAGATTTCTGTACATACATACATATTCCTCACTCTTTCTTTCATCTTCATTCATTTTAATTTTTTTTGTTGCGATGCATGTGGTATTTCCTTATGAAATTAGAAACACCGTCTGCTAGAAACCAGCAGAGCGCAAAGTAACTTTGCAGAGTCTGCGGACCAAAACAGCACCAATCCCTAAGCTTTGTGACCGCACGTAGCCAGTAACTTCACGGCCAATTGGATTTTTCAATTAACAAAGTGACAAGTTGCTGGTACTTGGAAAACGAAATGAAACCGTTACCAGCGAGCGTTGGGAGTGCATAAAAGCGAAAAGCGAAGTGGTCAGCAGCAAATTACTGGACGATTAACATAAATAGGGCCTCTACTCCCTACCTACGCGCACACAACGGTTTTCAAAGCGGCATTGAAGATAGTGCAGCGGACTTGAAACGCGCCAACGAACAGGTACTTGTACAAGGACGACGACTGCAAGACCGAAAAATTGCAACAAAGCGCAGCGGTTCTGGCCTGCTGTGCATGGAAAATGGCAGCTGTGAGTTTGCGAAGCAAATTGCGCCCACCATGGACGTGGACTAGCATCGGTATAGGATACATTATTGTACTGGGCTATGTGTTGCAGTTTGCCATAAGTGCACATGTACCGGCCGCATTGATGGCACAGTCGGATGGAGCAGTTGCAATTATTGCCAGGATACAGCCGACGTACGATGACTTGCAGGTAGCTGGCTCAGAGAAGGATGAGAAAAAGGTAGAGGAAGAAGAAGCAGAGGAGGAGGAAGAAAAGGAGGAGTCGTATGAGGAGAAATCTGTGGAAGAAAAGCATAGTGAACATAAAAAGAAGAAGGGTGAGAAGGGTAAGAAAGGGCACAAGGAGGAGGAGCACCATGAGAAGGGCGAGAAGGGACATCACGATAAGGAGGGTAAAAAAGGTGAGAAGGAGGAGGAGCATGGACATGAAAAGAAACATAAAAAAGATGAAGGCCACCACAAGAAACACAAGAAGGGTAAAAAGGGCGAGAAAGGACATGAATTCGAAGATCACGGCTCATACAAGAAGGGCCATTCCATTAAGGGCAAACATCATGTGCACAAGTTGAACGAGGATAAAAAGGAGAAAAAGTACTATGACGAACACCATGACGAAGGTGAAGAAGAGAAACATGGCGGCTTTGAAGAGGTGAAGAAACACAAAAAAGGTGGTCACCATAAAAAGGGCGGCCATAAGAAAGGCGCACACGAGGATGAGTATGGCAAGAAAGGACACAGTAAGAAAGGCCACAAGAAGAAGGGACATAAGGGACATAAAAAGGAGCATGAAGAGAAGAAGAAGTGGGGCGAAGAACATGAGGGCGGTAAAAAGAAGGGCAAAGAGGAGAAAAAGAAATGGAAGAAGTCGGAGAAGAAGGAGAGCAGCAGCAGCAGTGATGGTGGCCATGGACACGAGTGGTAAATGTAAGTGGCCGTTTGCTATGACAGCAGCGGTAGTACGATGGGCGTTAGTAAAATTAATAAGTATTCGTATTAGAGTTAGTATATTTTTTTGCTTTCTGGTGTTGGTAACGTAAATAACTTTGGTTTAGACATGTAGTATATGTATTATTGTAAGTTTTGCATAGCAGAGACCAATAAATAAGAATCCAAAATCAAGGTGATAGCGACCAAAAAGTGCAGCTTTTGACGAGAATGGTTTGAAATGTTTTCCGGGACTAATGATTTCAAATATTTTATTTCGTGGTAAGTTTTTAGAAGAGAGGCCATACGAGTATTTTCATATTTTTGAAACATATTTCTCTCTGTGTAAGTATGCACTCGAATGTATCTTAAACTGTAGTTCATAGCTCAACATTAGCTTGATCCCCAACTGACTCAAGTTGCAGTTTGGTAGCTTATTTAAGAAATACATATTTTCTCAAAATGCCTAACAGATTTGTATTTGCTGAAAACTTGGATGTAAGGCTGAGGAGCCGAGGGGATGACGGTTATATTCTTCCCTAAGGAAAACAAAACTAAATCACCTACAGACAAAGGACTTTATCCCGATAAAAATTCATCTATTTATTCTTATACGGTGTCTTACTGGACAAAGCGGGGTCTTTCAAAAATGTCTCAAAGCAAGCCATTTTAGACAGGCCTTCGTCCCGTAATCTCGAACTCGATAAGCAGTATGTTGAGCTTCAGAAGTGTTTCGGCGCAATGGGGTAGGCATAATACCACCAAATCGGTTAACAGAGGTACACCGGAATGGTGCGTATTATCGCTGCTACTATGGTCGCTGGTGATCAACAGAATACTATGGAAATTTTATAGTACGCGAAAAGTGTCTGTCCACACTCAGCTCACTTATAAGTCAAGCACTACGGTTCCGCACCAGTCTAAACCCAAGATGGATAGGGTGAACCTTCAGCTGAAGGAAATCACCAAGTACCTCGGAACAATACTCGATAGTAAGCTGTCGTGGTCACCATAATGTGTAGGCGAGGGCGAAGAAGACCTCAGTGTCATTCTATGCTTTAAAAAAGATGCTGGGCGGAAACTGGGGCCTATCGCCTTCTCTTTATCACTGGATCTTCACGGTGATAGCCAGACCCACGATTGAGAGAATACAAAGGTTGCGCCGATCTCGGACCGCTATTCCTCTCTTAACGAATTTGACACAATCGTTGTTTGCATGACGTCACACTTGTGCAATTTGTTTACGTTTTCCTTGCAACATTTTTTCTTCTTCCATTCTTGCTCACGTTTTGGCATTTCTCTCTCGCAATTGCACCAGTGTGACGTCACACAAAAGTTATTCTCAAAAATCCTCTCTGATCGGCGCAATCTTGTATTCTATCATTCTTGAGCCAGACCGATACTGCTCCATGGGATATTGGTTTTGTAGGCGATCAATGATTGGAATGAGAGTGGCACTCAGGACTATACCAACGGCAGCAAATTGGGACGAGCTTCGAAGCCGCTATAGACATGAGGGCATGAGAAGCTGCCGAGCTCTTGCTGCATTTTCCAGGCGGAAGTATTCACCATAAGGAGAGCTATTTAGCAGAAACCTAAACCTACCTATCTCGCGCAGCAATTTCTCTAGCAGTGTCTGCGTAGGGCAGCTATGCACGGGTAATGGCGTACATCTGTACTGTTCCTGGGGCACATCGGCATTGCGGGCAACGAATAGGCCGACAGGCTTGCCGAAGAAGGCTTCTTGACCTGACCAATGATAAGATATTTTGGATATGCAGAAAGAACGAGTTTCTGCCCTTAGGAGACTGTTGTTTAGTTCCCCGGGAGCAGGCTTTCTGCTTAATCTGGAAGCCCCGCCAAGGTAGGGTACAACGAGGTGTTCCAGTTAGCAATGAGTACTCCAATGTTCTCCCACAATGCTTCTAGTACTCAGTGATAAGCTGTCTTAAGTGGCAGTAGTTTAGCGAAGAGCCAACACTTACCTGACCTAACCTTAAAAGCCACTTAATTTGTAAATTATACCCTGGCTTTTGATCCGAGTAATCAGCGGAAGGCCCCCCCCCTGGGAGACGTACGAAAGTAACCTACATAGAAAAAATATTCCGATGCATTCCTACTTTTTTTGAAGTCAGTTAATACGGAATTAAATCTGTCTTCTATGCCGACGATTTGGTAATACTTCTTCTCGGAAAAGTTCAGTCCACGATAAATAAGCTAATTAAAGAAACACAAGGCAGTATCTCCAAGCCGGCCAACCATAACAATTTTGGAGTTAAAATCTCCAAAAGAGATCTGGCGCTGTTCACAAGAAAAACAAAAGTTTCCACCTTTTCTTTACTTGTCCAGGTTAGGGGCAGCTACTTTAAATCTCTCTTCCAAAGCGAAATACTCTGGCAACATTTTGAACTCTAAACTGAATTTCAAAAGCAATCTGAGGGGAAGTTATAAAGGTTCTAGCGGAATACCACACCTGCAAAACGGTATTTCAAAAACAAAAAGGATCTATAAAAACAAAAGGGATCGAAAAAGTCATGACCTTGTTCCGAAATGATATCGAACAACTCTTGACTCCGTCCCGAAATGGTATCTTATTAGTCCCAAAATCAGCCCGAATAAGTCCCAAAATTGTTCTAAACTAGTAACAAAATGAACCGCACCACTCCCACAATATTTCGGAAATAGTCTTGAACTAGTCGGCCGCTGTGGTGTAGTGGTAAGCAGTGCGCGCTTCCATTCCGCAGCACCTGGGTTCAAACCCCGGTCAAAGTAACATCGCAAAAAAAATATAGAAAAAAGGTTTTTTCTTAACAGCCGTCGTCCCTCGGCAGGCAATGGCAAACCTCCGAGTGTATTTCTGCCATGAAAAACAGCTTCTCATAAAAATACAATCGCCGTTCGGAGTCGGCGTAAAACTGTAGGTCCCTCCGCTTTGTGTGACAACATCAAAACGCACGCCACAAATCGGAGAAGAAGCTCGGCCAAACACTAACGTATGTGTAAGCCCCAATCTATTGTATTATTATTAGTCTCGAAATGATCCCAAAGTAGTTGTGAAATAGTCCCCCAAAGGCCCTGAAATAGCTTTGTACTACTCCAGAAATGTTGGTGGGTGCACATGAAAAGCAATCACAGATTTTCTGTTGGGATACCAAGAAGCAGTTACAAATTTTCTCCTAGGTTAACGCAAATTTTACCCATACCGAGAGCTAAGATGTTTCCTTTCTCCGTTAAAAGTAACAAACATATCCGCCTTTAGTAGGTCGATTAAAAATGAAAACGTTGAATTAGATAAATAAAAACTCTTGAGGGAGATTTTTTCTTCATTATTATCGCTCTATTCCGGCAAAACTGTGAATAAGGCAGCGCCTGGCTGGAAAAATGGAAACGTTTTTTGAACTCAACCCAAAGGGACAAATGGTTGCAGAACCACATCGGAAGAAGGGGCCAACCAAACTACCGAATTTCATAACCATAGTAGAGCTCGATTTCAGAACCATCTCTTTACAAATTTTAGCCACCTTTCAAAACTTAATAATTCTTAATTAGTAATCTAAAAAAGAATATTCACATACATAGATGAGTTTCTCGCATTCTCCGCCCTTTTTGCTATATTCAATTTCCGATTCAAAGCCATGTCATAATTAAAGGGAAATCCTGCCATTCGGGCACGTCCACGCCACGGTCAACACATATTTATATATAGATAAGCGCATAAACATGCATAACTGCGAATACACTCAGCCAAAAATCCCTGCTTATTAGACGATTATTTTGGATGATTCACAAGAATCGCCTCGCCGCCTTTTTGCAATTCCATCCAAAGAATGCAATAAACAAAGCACTGCCCTTTGCAGAATTTATGCCAGCGTACCTCTTAGTACTCGTAGTTTGCAAAGTTACTCACTCACATACGTAAGTATGTATGTATATGAATCGGAAGCAAGGTTTTCAATACACGCCTCAGACTTTGGCCAATTGTGGGCGGCACGCTCATCCACCAGGCTGCCATTGTGTTAATTTGCTAAAAGTTCGCCTGAGTCATCACGGTTGCGGTGGCTCTTTGTTGGTCATTTGTACGAAGCTGCATTCTTCATTGTCGTTGTTTTTGTTGTGGTTATTGTTTGCTAAGCTGTTAAAACAAATGAAGAATTTCCGGTGCTGTGTGCCTTGACCATGCCAATGCGGCCAAAGGCTGCTACTGCTGTTGGTGCTATTGGTGCTGCTACAGCTGCAACTGCAGCTCTTGTGGTTGCCGGTCAGCAGCTTTGCGGCGGATACTGGCTCTACCATGGTCAGGGCCATTTTTTGTACTGTTATGTATAGTAGTACCTACCTACATAGTTCGACTTTGTGAAGGTGTAGAAATACTTAAATGAAATTTCCGTGCTCATTGTTCGCCCAGCGGAAGTGCATAACTTATGCTTTATACTATGAGTATGCATGCCACAAGCATTACTCCACAAGTAAACGACAGTTGTTGCTGTCCTTGTCGTTGTCATAGCCGTTATTTGTGTTGGTGCAGTTGCCATTGCCATTGTCATTATTCCAGTGAATAGCTGAATAGGTTTGGCAATATCATCTCGACATTGTTCTACCAAATCTATTGTTGCTGTATGTGTGTGCCAAAGGCAGCTGGCGGCCGGCTGGTGAGCGGTCAGTTGAGTGCCGCTTAGTTGGGTAGCTTCAATAACTTCCCAGCCAGAAAAGTCTGAGTCTACTAATTCATGCAAGGCTGTAGCCAGATGCACCGCGCTAACATACAAATGGCGTACATATGTACATATGTATGTATGTATGTGTGATAGCGCCAAGTGCTCTAATATGAACTAATACCCTCGTGTTCCTAAGCACTATTTGGTATGCCAGTAAAGCTTTTCTCTTCTCTAATGCATCTCTGCTGTCTATTTCAGTCCGTTGGGTATGTACACACACACCAACACACATACCTATGTTAGAATGCAACTCTGTTGCTATGCTGCTGCTGCGTTTATTCTTGGGCCATAATTCAGTTACTGTTGCATCATAAGC